GTTCACTAGCCGTGCGCACTGGTTTCTCAATGACTTGATGATCGAATCTTTTGAGTCCGTTCATCGAACGAGTACCCAACTATTATAATAATATAATGAAAGATATGCGTATGTTTTGATGTGGCGTGCACATAATAATGGCTATGTCCATGTCTATAATATTGTGTATTAATATGGGTGTTTCGATATGGCTTAAACTGAAAAACAGTATCTTGCATAAAAAGTGTTGTTATTTACTGTTTTTTTTGTTTGTTTGGTTTTTTATTTTGGTAGGGGTTTCTTTTTTGTTTTTGTGTGTGTGTGTGTGTGTGTGTGTGTGTGTGTGTGTGTGTGTGTGTGTGTGTGTGTGTGTGTGTGTGTGCGTGCGTGTGTGAGTGTCTTTCTTCCTCTCTCTCCAATAGGAGACGACTTTTAAATTCACCTTGCCGAAGAAATCATTTAAGTTTTACATACTCAAAAACGTGACTTAGATCACTTATTGCAGGCAGACTTCTTCGCTTGGCTGGACAAACCAGAGGTGTTGGAAACCTTCCGGAAGAAAATCGAGGGGGTGGTCGATAGTACAATAATATTAATGTATTTTCAACTCTCCACGTGGAATCAAACCCATATTAAATTATCCCTCTGCTTGAAAGTCAAAAGTACCATAGCAACTATGTTACGCATCTAAAGCTTATAGTTGAGTTTAGTTAATTTGTACCCAGCTGTAATCATAATATGATGTGAATCTTCCCATACTGTGCTATCGCACACAAAAACATCTTGAATAACGTTGTAGATGAAGGACTCCTTAAAGACGCGTAATCTGGTTTCAGTAGGCTACTTTACAATCTGGGTCAAGTACAGATCCTTTAAAAATGATCCTGTTTATCTCCAACAGGACTAACACAAGTTTAAATGACGCAGGTTGCTGTTTGTGTGAAGATCGCCCCCGATCCAAGATGATGTTATATATTATAGCTGCTGGTGAAGTAAAAGGCTTGTGAAAGGAGTCATTGAACCCATTCGTCTGGACTGGACAGCAATTGGCAAAGGAATGAGTAAACACATGAATAATAAATTAAATAGAGATATAGGCCTAATATATAAACTAAATATACAAGTTTAGACCTGTATACGATATATGAATTAAAGAACGATAAAAGATCATTAATAATGTTGATTAATGTCGTGGCCAGTGTACCGTCAAACTAAATCAGTTTCAGCTTTCCTGGGAATCATTTTTATTTTTACAAAAGAAGAAGAAGAAAAAAATTGCGCTCGATCATGGCTTGTGCAGGAAAAAAACCAATTATTCAATTATGAAACATAACAAACATCGGGACCTACAGCTATAAGTTATAAGCGAAAACAATCTCTTGTCTTTTTCTTCTTCTTCTCGATCGCATCACACTTGAAGTCCGGTATCTGTCATAACTTGGGCCGTCCTGCTCAGTTCATCTGGCGGCCCAATCTCTTGTCTTTTTCAACCTTTTTAGTTGAGCAGGTTCCTACTGTTGCGTAAAGATATAGTCCTACATGTACATGTATTATAAATATCAATTCCGTCAGCGTTGAGTGATGCAGGAATTTATTTCAACACTTATAAATTGATGGTGTGCAAGAAGAGCATAAGGTCACATTATTACTGCGCTTTTCAAGTGCTGGCGAAAAGCATGGCAGAAAGATACAGACGGACAACAGTATATTTTGCCTATTCGTGACATTTTCAAACAACCCGCCCTTTCAACATGTTTGCGCACTTTTTGGGCTCTCTTTACTCATCTTTGACTTGAAGTGGACACACCTGAGCAGCAATAACAACCCCCCCCCCCCCCATGCATACACACATAGTACACACGTACACACACACACTCTCTCTCTCTCTCTCTCACTCACACACACACACACACACACACACACACACACACACACACACACACACACACACACACACAGACACACACACACACATCATACTGTTATTACGCACCCCAACCCTACCATCCTCTAAAAAAATTCTTACAGCTTTGAACGGGATATCAAAATTACACATTTTTCTACCCAAGAACATATTATGCGTCTATTTCAGACTTTTGAAGCTCCATGATCGATTAGGCGTTCTTATCACCGACGGGTGAAAAAAAACAAGAATTTTTTCTTCTCGAAGGTCAAAGTTGCGACCTTAATGGGTGCCTCTCTGGAGTGCAGATATGCTTAAGGAGAGTGGGTTAGTACAACGTCAAAACCAGTTACGGGTGATTGGATACCAGGATTCACAATTTATTACATGTATAGCCTAGCACGCACATAACGAAATCGGCGAGGAGCGGAACTAACATTACAATGTATTTCAGACAACTTAAACCAGAGAGACAAAGTTGGACAATTGGGTTGAAATTTTACATGAGTTATGCTCTCTATGCCCCATCAAGAAGCTCATTCATGATCATAGTCGCTGAAACGTTTTGCAGATTTGGGATTTTGACACTGATTTTTATCCACCTCTGCTGAAGTGCATAAGCTAAATTTAAGGCTGAACATTTTTCTGTGACTGTGACGTATACAATAAATACGTCCGTGACCACACCATTGCTCTCATCATGTATAGAGGTCTTTGGCCTGTTCATATTTACCCCCCCCCCCCCAATCGCTCTCTCTCTCTCTCTCTCTCTCTCTCTCTCTCTCTCTCTCTCTCTCTCTCTCTCTCTCTCTCTCTCATCATGGCAACTTCGTTAAACAGGATTTATGGTCGTGTTTGTTTTTTGTTTGTATAGTATAGGGTTTTATGGCGCTCGCAACTGCATAAGGTCATATGAGCGCGCGGGATACACCTAATACTTTTTCGTTGGTAGGAAATTTTGAATTTTGCCCGGGTGGCGGCCGAAGCCTACTCTTATCGATTTTAGACCACCAAGGGATCTTTAACATGCCCTCCGAGATTTTTCGCCCTTGTCCGAGAAGGCTAGGTGTAGATCTTTCCTACCAGAAGATCAGGGGTGTGGCAGAAAGACAGCAGTAAGGAGGAGCCAAGGAGTAGCAGTAGAAAGGCTGCAGAAAGAGTCAGGAGCCCAGAGGAGGGGGCAAAGGAGGTGAGGGGGGGTGGGGGCAGAAAGTGGAAATGAAAGCAGACAACAGAACATTGTTAGAGATCAGGAAAGGATGTGAAAGGAGACAGTTTTAGAGAAGAACATTTTTTTGTCGCTACCCGGAATCGAACCCGGGACCTTTGAATGAGAGGCCAACACCTTAACCTCTAGGCCACGAGAGCCCCCGGTCGTGTTTAATAAGATGCACCCTCGCTGTCTCCATTTATTTCGGTATTTACGTATGGCTTTGTCGCGTGCGTGATTTGAGGACAAAGAACACACTTATATAGCAACAAAGATATGGGACCTGAACAATCTGTTCGCTGTGTGCGTTTTTCGTTTTGTGCGTGCCAGAGTGTACAGGTATCTCCGTTGCCTGCCTCGATTGCCAAGTACACTCAAACTCAAAGTGAGTTGCCCCACCTACCAAAAGCCAGTACTCGGTAGACCTACAGGCGAATCTTATCTCAGTTTCCACATCTTGAAACGGAACCCTCCATCTTTCAAGGCCAACCCAGGTAGCATGTGCCACAGTCAAACAGGAATATATGTATATGTAGGCTCTCTGTAAAATAACTCTCCCTCTTTGGAAACGAACACGCATCTTGTTCGCCAAAGTCGAAGATCTTGGTAGGAATGCAAAACGACGTGTACGAGGTCTGTCCCAGAAATAAATTTTCCTGTTCTGTAAAATCAACAATTTTTTATTCCACAACCATGAAATTTAGTACATACCGACAGAAACACGTGTTCAATTCAACATAACAACGGTTGTTGATTTCTCCATTCACTTTTGTTTCCGATGTAGCCAGCGGTCAAACGCAGTGACCATGCTCGCTTCTGCCAGAGTCCTCAGAGCAGCAATTTGTTTCGAGCACAGATTTCTTCGCTGCCCCTTTAGTCCTTCTTTGATTTTTGGACTAGAAATGAAAGTCACATGATGCTAAATTAGGCGAAGAACGTAGATGATCATGGATGTCCCACTACCAAAAGTCTAGAAGATCGGTGACCTTTCGAACGGTGTGCACAGGCGCGTTGTCATGATGGAAACCATCACCTGGCAAAGGCAGACCCGGCCGCTTTCTTCTGGTTGGAGGCCTCAACTTTGTTTTAAGTGAAGCGAGCTGACAAGAAGAGTTACTTCCTGGACACAAGCCTTAAGGAAATAGATACATCACGCGTATAGGTGAATTTTTTTTCCCTCCAATTTATAAGTATGAATAAATAATAAAAGACAGGTTATAGTTAAAGAATATGGCATCAATTGAAAATCTACAAATTTGACCCAAATGTGATTTTGGCCATTATCTCTGTTCGTGGATTGCGAGAAGTAACTCAATTTGTCAGCACACCTCACATTTTGTAATAATCAGCACTGACTGCTGTGCCAACGCGAACCGGCCGTTCAAAACAACATTGACTCTGGCCGAAGCAGGTACGGTCACTGAGTTTGATGACCGTTGGCTACATCAGATGAATAAGGGCATTGAGATCAATGGTTGTGACATTGAATACAAAATGTTTCTCATGTTACCAATTTAATGTCTGAAATTTTTTATCTTTTTAAATGTTGATTTAAGAACAGGGAAGCTTATTTACAGACCCCGTAGTCGTAGAAAAGGTATGAAAGGAGCAATTGAAAAATGAACACGCACGTGTTTTGAAACTATAATTCAAACTGCATTTTTCCGCAGTTTTACATGCACGTTGTTTTTTTTTTTTTTGCTTTTGTTTTTTAGGAACAATTCAGCGTAAGGCATTCATTATATTTAAAAAGGTCAGGCAATCGAAGTACAGCTGAGCCCTGACTCGACGGGAACAAGGGACGCAATGATGATCTCTGAAAACATAACTGGTTTACGCCTCATGATATAATCTAGATCATATGGGAGGCCGGCTGCTTCGAGGACCACAGTGAGTGGGATATAGCATCTTAGTAGACAGGCGGAGATATTTGATAAAAGAGAAACAGAGAACTTGCGTCAAATACAATAAATGTACATTTAGTAATGTATATCTGATGGGTTTTGTTTTGTTTGTATTAGTAAGGTTTTACGACGCTCGCTACTGCATAACATCATATTATGAGCGCCAAGGTTTTGTTTTAGTAAGCCTTTGACGGCACTTACAACACAATAAGGCCATCTGTAAGTGGCGAAGGTCAGTAGTGCTACTAGAGTGCAGCACACAAAGAAGGGGAGGAGAGAGACCTGCTTCTGCGGTGTAAAGTGTAACGGTTAGACTTTTCATTCACTGCCGCACGCAGGAGATATGAGTTCAATTCCCAAGTGTAGATATACCCCCCCCCCCGGGTATCTCGGTCTTTCTTCTGGGATGTATATTTTTAAGCCCGATTTGGCCCTGACAGGCAGGGTCGGAAGCCCGCCTCTTACATTATCTATATGATGTCGATGTGGGCTTTGTTTGTTTTGTTTGAGTAAAGAGAAGCACATTGGCACAATAATGGTCATTTAGTACCGAGAAAAGGTAAGGTAGACACATAAATAACAGAAAATACAGAAATAGTTAAATAGGACCTATCAGTGGCGCACTCCAACCACTCGCTCGATATTGGTATTAAAAAATCTACATAAAAAAATAATAATTAAGGAAGAGAGATCAGGACGATACAATTTTGACAAGAAAGGAGGAGCAAACCACACCAGAGCGCCGGCCGACGCGAGTCACACCAAGTGAGTAAAAGGACCAACACTGTATAGGCCGTGATGTTGGATAGGCATGATGTTAGATCACCCCCGATAATTTATAATACTGGACAGCAGAGTAGATGACTTCAGTTCAAATCTTCAAACGGGGCAATCTTGAACTTGAGTTGTTTAATTAAAAGATTTTTTCATGGTTCTTCCTGATTCCAATTGAAGAGTGGCATGAAATTCGTGGTCCCAACTCTTACTTGATAATAATGCTGTATTTTGTTTTAGTAGAGGTTTTACAGCGCTCGCAACTGCCTAAGGTCATATGAACGCCAGAAGATTAGAGGTGTTACAAGAGAGTAACAAACATAAAAATGAAGAAGGGGAGATAAGGACAATAGATGTTTGATAGGAAAGAAGAAGCAAACCACACCAGAGCACCCGCCAACCACCCACCAATGCTGTATTGACAGTGGCCCGAATTGCATAACACACCACGTATGGATAGAAGTAAACAATGCTAGCATGGAAAACGTTTCAAAAGAATGTGCTTCTCAGGTACGTTTGATATTAAATATACTACATCTAGGACGATATACAAAAATGTATTTGCAAACAAAAATGGTCGAGTTACTTTCTAAAATGTAAAGTAGTTCCCGCATCCGATCCGGACATTGGGGATTGCCTTGTTAGTGAGACAACTTCCGGGGCCTTCGGCATATTGTGGTAGGGTGGCCAGTTCCTTTCCACGCCGCCTTTACTTCCCCAACTCGAAGTCAGGACTGTTGGATGGGCAGGAAGGGAACCTGAACAAATGGAGGAAAACAACAAACAAAAAATACTAACAAGAATAAAAACAACACTTAATACGGTCGGTTTCTATTGCTGTTCAAAATTCATTTATTTCACTTTGGATCTTTTGAGTAAAGCTAATCTACAAACATTTGTGCACTCAATGATAATAAAAAAAAATAAAAATATTAACCCAAAATAATAATGGCAGAACATCATAGTAAACCATCAACATGTGACTCTGAGGACGGTGGTAATAATAGCACGTGGACTTAAACTCTTAAAAAAAAAAACCCCTAGAGAGGGAGATAAAGAAGACGCTTGTCTTCATAACAGACAAATGTAAAATAAAATAAAACCCACACAAGTGTATTAACACTATTCCTTCACTTCTAACATTACCTCATTGGTCTAAAATTATACCATTGCCATCAAAGAAAACCGTCATCAGTCAAAATTTCTAAATTTAAATAAAGAAATTTTCAAGAATGGCTACAATACAACCTTATGGCATAGATACACTCACTTTACTAACAATAGAACATTGTCCTACATCCAAAAACCCACCGCAAACAAAACAACCCAATCTAAACAAAACACCACCCTACATGGCCATCAATAAATTAAAAGATATTCAAAGATATCGGTAATTCTGATATATTTCTGTACATCTGTAGAGACTAATATAACTGGATCACAAACACCGGGACCAACGAGACATCTAGAACTACTGAGGACAAGAATGCAGGAATTTGTAACTGCCCACTGACAATAGACAAAATACATTTCATGTTTATTCCATCAGATCTTTTTCAGGAAAATCTATATATGATAACGAATCCATAAAGTATTTATTTCTTCAAGATATAATAATGATTTATGAAAGAGAAAAGCACATATCTCACGGGAAAGGGCAAAGATGGGGTAATTTACTTCTAAAAACGGCTTCTCTCATCTATTTGGACACATGCTCTGCACATTATATTGCTTTTTAAAATATAGTTCAAGCATCTCTTTACCAAGAGTTCAAAAGAGACAGAAATATAGAAGGAGGAAAGAAAACGGAACCCCTTCTGGTAAACCTAAACAGATCAGTTGACCAACGACTAAACAAAAAGGCAGTTACTGAAAGAGAAAGACAGACATGTCATACATATATATACACACCTGAATATGAGAGAACACAAAGGTTGAACAAGAGAACAGCAGAAACACAGAACATTGGACAGACCTGTAACATGTAAAAGACAACAATATGCAGTATCCCACACACTTCTGCAGAGCCAAGCAGGAATTTAGAAGTCTCACTCTCAGTAGTACCACCTAAAGAATTCTAACATTCTCAGACAATGACACTCACTTACTACCTATACCTTTTATGGGAAGCGACTGTACCAAACAATACACTACATCATAATTTACCTGAAATAACCACACAAGTTACAAAACCTATGAATAAATTAATGTCCTTTACACAAAGCTTATGAATACAGCATTAATCTGATGGTGGAACGTCGTTCTAACAGATGCTGTTGTTGTTATTGATTCAGCAGATTGAAAAAGCATTTCCATGGACTATACAGACTATACTTCAGGTCCAATTCTTCTTTAACAGCCATGCAATACTACTCAAAATACTTTTTAAAAATAAAAGCTGAATTAAAAAGAGACAAGTTCGACACAAATCTGATTTTGATTTTGAATGGTTTAAAAGAGATTCTTGGACACATAATGTATAACAAGCTGACAAATTCAAAACATCAAATTATGTGAGGTGATCAGAATCGCTGGAAAAGTTTTTGTCTACAAACAGGTCTAAATACAACTTTATTCCTCTTTTCACCTAAATCCAACAAACATTTAAGACAGGGAAGTAATGAAGTTGGAAACAAAATAAAAGTTTAAAAAATTGTTTGAGGAACTTAAATATCTTCTATTACTTTTATTCTTGACAGAAACCATTCTAAAATTTGAGATTCTTTTGAGTGTTTAATCTTTTTATTTTTTATTTTTAGATATGTCCAATTTAAAAAAAGGAAATTTCAAATAAATTTAAATAATAATTATCATTATTTCACAAGGTGTGCAATGACTCAAAATAAAATAAATTACATTCCACATTGAGTGATTTGTTCAAGTAAACTTGACAGATACAGAAGTAATGAGAGTATTTTAAAAAGATTACATAATTTTTAAAAAATCAGTTAATCATTCGTGTAAATTAAAAATCATTTAGTCAAGTGTGATATAGACATGAAGGGTATCACATTTTAAAAAAAACATTCTAAAAGCAATCTATCAGGACAAGATGCTCTTGTATCATTATAAGTAATCCTCATCAAACTTAGGTCGATCATATAAAGTATAAAGTATGGACAAAAAGGACGCTTTTCATATTATCATAGGTAAGTCAAAAGGGCCAGTAAAACGTCAGCACTTCATGTGGGGTCATGTGAAGAAAAGTTTTGAGACTTCTAAAACTTCTATAATTATATTTGAAATGCCCAGGTGTGAAGTTACATACAGTTAAAAACTTGACAAAAAGTCTCCTGACATTCGCAGCTGCAAAAAACAAGCAAATGCAAAAGGAATAAATCAAACGTGTGAGAAAAATTCTAAACATTTCTAGTCCATTAATAAATATACATTGCAAATGCTGTTAGAACGGAAGCCAGATTTGTGGTGGGCACAATATTTTCACCTGTAGCCTAAGGTAATAAATGTTTTTTTTTGCTTTTTTACAGCAAACACATTAAGTATGAAAGGAGAAAAAAAACCAAAACAACCAAATACAATGATTAAGTATTATTAAAATGAAGGCCGAAAGTCTTTATATCAGATACACAAACTTTTGTAGGACCAGCATATTATAAAAATGCCAATATAGAAGACGGAAATTTCCAGAAATGTAAGTAAACAGATATCCACAAAAAGATACCATTGATGACATAGTCCTTTCAAAATGATGTTGGTAAGACATGCATAAAAATCTATTGCTCATAGATGTTAAATTTACATATTGCCATCTATTTCTGACAATCTGAGTAACTGTAGATGGTACACTTGTATTGATCATTCTAGGCATAATATTCTGTCTCTTAAATTATGAATAATTTAGCAAAAATTGCAAATTAAAATTTCAGAACCTGTTACCGTACTTGGAAAACAAAATATTTCAAGTTTCAGAGTCTGCATGAATCAGTTCAAGCTCTAAAGAGGCTCTTACAAACAAATGCATGAGAATCAAACACAAACCGTGTTCCATAAATGTAAGATCCAATTTGATGGTTCTATCATCTTACCACTTTCCAAAGCTGTAACTCATAGGCCGTAAGAGAGATCTTGCATCTTACATAAATCACTTTCATTGTTCAACTGCATTGAGCCTGTAATAACTCTCAACAGAGGAGCAAAACAGCTTTCATCGCCAACCAGGTCTCACCACAACTATCTATCTGGCCCCATTATAGGGCTCTCACAGTGACAGGACAAGAGGGTTCCTGAGTGGAGAATGCCTCAACCTTCTGCACCTTGGAAAAAACAAGTCTGTGATAAATGAGCAGCCACAAACAGCAAGCTAGTCACAGACTGAAGCTGGTGAAAATTCAGGGGATTTACTCAAGATGTGACTTTACAATATGGTCCTGACCCATACTGGGTAAAATAAAGCTCATGATATCACTTCAGGGAAAGGTGCATTATTTCATGTTGACATATATGAGCAAAATTTAGAACATAATTCACAATTATTTTTTTTAAACACAGAAACTCTTTCTTCTCTGTGTCTTCCTCAAGATGTCCTGCTGTCCCTATACTTTCTAGCAAATCACTGATGTCCTGTTTCTATTTTCATTTGGATTTTCCTCTCCTCCTCCTCATTTTCATTCTTCTATCATGCCTTTGCTTTACAACTGGTTAAAAAAATGTTTAAAAAAACAACTTTCTGTTGTCATTTCCTTTGACCTGGAATATCCTTGATTTTTCAGCTTTTTACTTCTATATAATGGAGTTGACTCTTCCTCTTAACTATTAAAGTCTAATGTTAGTATTTCCTTTCCTTCCAGATGACAAAAGTACTGCAGTACCTGTCAACCATTTAATTATATGAAAAACAATCAAATTTCCTTTTGATGATTAAAATACCCAACACATCTATGTCTCCAGTGTGAAAGAGAACAATCCAACATGCTCATATTGTTGATTCAAATGCCCAGGTCTTCCTAAATGTTCTTCATGTTGTCCAATTTTTTTGTTATTATAGCTATATTTCATAAGACTTCATAACCTACAATAATTAATACACACACAATTCAAAAAGACAAAAAGAGCCATCTATCTAATTTATGTGGTATATAACAGGTGAGGGAGGTGGAGGCAAATCTAGACTGTGATGTGAAGCAACCTTTGCTTACTTTGGCTCCATGAACCAATCACTTACAAAAAATTACAACAGAAACCAGCCTGTGAGTGGGTCCCACGCACAGAATCAAATCACAGCTTGACCAGAAGACCAACATGTAGCAACAAGGGCAGTCATCTCACTGACATTTTGATGCCAAAGCAAGAATACATTGTCAACAAGCACTCAAACAGTTATGTCATTCACACAGTCGTATTAAACAATCTTTCATCACCAAAGCATACACGCACGTACTTCAAAATATGCTCTAAGAAATTAAAATAAAAAAATTCAGGGAGCATGCAAAAATAAGTGATATATCAAGTAGTGAAAGAAGAAAGTCTTATTTAAGGCAAGGATCATGGGGCAGAAAACGTAAGCCAAACACAGGTCAGTTCAGTGGAAGCTACAGGATAACACAATTGGTACTCTTAAAACAGTTCTGCCCATAAGTCTTCAACCAAAAATTGGAACAGTCAGCTTAGACAAATATTTTTTAAACCAGTGACAGATATTGAGACCAAAGATAAGCTTAGAAGGTAGTTCAAGTTTTGACCATAGTGGAATGTCAAAAAGAAACCCTGACAATAAGAAACACATATGTGAAATTTATTAAGTTATAAAATTTTTAAAATCTCAAAACAACAGTGAGAACCACATAAATGGCAAGCCACGACGCTGATAGAATTTGGTTGGATGATATGCTTATTGCTAGTTTAGGTAATCTTGAAAAAAGTGTGGTACGAGAAGCAAAAGTCGATCCAGCAATGTGTTAATTGTTAGTAATATCAGTATTTTGCTTTTAACTTACAAATATACAGCGTTTAAAAAAACAGTTTCATTAGATTTAACGTTTGGCTCAAATGTGGGAAACGGTATGCTATTTACATTAATAAATAGCAGTTACTGACTTATATGACTATTTAATTTTCACTAAATAAAAGATTCACTAAGGCAATTCACTTACAATTGCAAGTGGATCATCACATATCAGCCCGTCACAGGTGACAAACAAAAATAAGAGCTTTGATCTCCATTCCAAAAGGGTAAAAAAACATTTTCCACACATATCATCAATATAAAGGACAATAAAATAATGAAAATTTGAGAGGCTAAACTAGAGATAAAAAATACAGGAAAGTGACACAGAATCCATAAAAACAATTAATAAATAAGGGGAAGGGGCGATCGGGGGTGGTGTGGAGAGGAGGTGGTGTGGAGAGAGGGTGTATAATTAAATGACTTGTTCTGAGATTGCTTTACTTTAAAATATAAACACAGTCGTAAATGCAAAAAAGGACAGCAGCACTGAGCACTGAGCTTAAACAGAACAGTGGTAAAAATAAGAAACTTATTGAAGCAATTGAAGTAAAATGCAAACGGCAGCTAGGACGAGACAAGTCCTTTAACGTGACACGGACATCAGGAAGCATACACCTCTCACCACAAGTTAATGCAATGCCTGCACACCTGTTCTGTTTGAGAAAGTATCTATGTCTTAGTAAGCATTTTATGACACTTGCAACACATTTAGCGAGAGAGTATGCATCATATACTCATTGTCTTGCATGGTAGTCATGATATTCCAGGGGGGGGCTTTAGAATTCACTTGTAATACATCTTAACATATCAAAATAAATACCCATCAGTCTTTTTTTGTCCTTCCCCAAGATTCAAAGGGAAAAGGGTTAGTGGTAGCCTCTTGACCATATATGAAAGCAACCCAAAAGTTTTTGACAAGAGAGAAATAAAATCTAGTGCTCCATCATCTTGACAGAAAATGTCCACGATGTGGGGGCATGGGGAAAATATTTACTAGCGACTTATCAAAAGTATCGCAGAAAACAGGCGATAGCAACAGGACTGGGGATTGTCCAAGACAAAAACTTTACCTGAGGATTGTTTCCAACTACAGGGGGAAAAAAATTGTATTCTGCCTTCATCAACACAGCATCTACAGAGCACAGATATTGACTTATAGGATAAGACACAGACATAAATACAGTACAACACATAAATAGCATGTTAAAATACAAATTGTGACAAAACAAAGTACAAGCAGGGTGCACAGCACTGTGGAGATAATGTACAAAAAACACCACCAAAAAAAAAAGAATTAAAAAAAAGAAACGAGCTAAGATTCTCATCTTATGCTCTTATATAACTTCCACCCACTTTCCCATACTATCTGCCTTCTATGTCGTCTGTGATATTGATATCCAAGTCCTGATATGAGAAGTGCGACATATAGGCAACATCTCAATTTATAAATGTTCGTAAAAGTTCGAAGCAATTGATGTTGTAAACTTTGTACAACTTCATGAGTACAATGTAGTGAAAAGACATATAAGTTTTTCAGCTTTGAGATTCTTCGCAAGTGATCCATTAGAACTAATTTGGCATGGTCAGATGACCTTTATATATAATGCTTATATAACCCAAAAATTACAATCAACTAAAGCATTTGGAAACCTTGTCCACAGAATCATATTCTACAAGTGCCTATTCCAAACAAAGCAAACGTGCAAAAGCAGGCAGTTAAAAGATTACACAAAAAGAATACCCAAAGTGAAAAATATATATAAAAAGTACAAGTGATCTTATCTAGGCAACTGAGAATATTTAAGCCAAATATTCCATTGCACTTTTTGAATACGCTCATTACAATTACAATCAAGCTACAAACATGTACAAAATTATCAGCACACATCCTTACAACTCGTTTGACCATGAATGCCTAGCAAGGCAGGCAGACTTCCGTACCAACCTTATACTATACAGATATTCCCTTATTGCTCTGGATCACAGGCATGTCCCATTTCCATCTCTACATCTGCAGACATAAGCTAACATAGAGGATATATGCATCACTTTTCTTTGGTATACATCTTGCCATTAGCTGTCACTCTGTTTTGTTGTTGTTTTCATCAAAAAATAATTCACGGCAAACATGAAAAGAAGAACCAATACACAAGAAAAAACTCCAGGGTATATATATATATACATATATATAAACCCACACACTGTCACACTACTCATATAATATAAGCAGAAACTTCCTCTTGAATTATTGTTATGAGGATATAAATAACACAATAAGCAGAAGCACTGGAGACAACACATGGCCCATGTCTCCGAAGTCACTAAGAAACATCATATGTATAAAAAGCTATCTATCCTCTAATTTGATGGCACAAAACTCTCAGCTTTCCTCATACTATAAATATCAACTTCTCTTCAAAACAAAACAAAAATGCACGGAATGCCAAAAGTCATCAGACATTTTTGTAAATGTTCAGAAGTTCTTCAAATATTTCTACCATAATATCTTAAGTTACATTTTTGCCCACAATTTATAAACCTTCTACTGAGCACCTCGACGCATAAAAAATACAAAACAGAGTAAAATAGAAATTGATCATACTAAAGTACAGCAAAGCATGGGTTGATAAAAGCATAAAACTTAAAATAGCAATGGTGAAAAAAAAGACACCTTAAAACTTTCACATCACCCAACAGTGCAACTCAATCTTAAACTTAAAATCAACATCTGGTATCCAACAAAATGACCCCCTCTCTCTCTCTCTGCCCCTCATCAAACACCACACACATTACACTACAAAAATGATAAAACTTGGCTGTGTCAGGACACGAGCGATGAGCACATCAACACGCAAGAAATCTACACTCTACACACACAGTGAGATCTACTTGGTCTCAGGCCACTCCCAAGTGTCCGGCACAAACTGTTCGTAGTTTGTGTCGTACAGGAAGGAGCGGATGTACGCCTCTTTGTCCTTGGGCTCCGGATAGGCAGAAGCTGCGCCGGTGCGATACACAAACTCTGCCAGTTCTGTGGCAATTTTGAGCGAGACCTCCTGGATCTGATTCAGTGGTGGGTACAATCTGCCTTCTGCTAAGTTCTCATCTGTGACCAGCTTAGAAAGACACTGGAAAAAAAATATACCACAAATAAGAATTGGGGGTAGTTGACCCAGTCTATGTTGAGCTGTGAATTCTTACAAAGAAATAACCATACAAAAAAATATATGAAGAAGAGTTGAGTTGAGAATGTTTAGCAAGTTGGCACAGTAGCAGCCATATTTGGCTGGGAACAACATAAGGCAGCCAATAGTATTTCTTGCCACAAGCAGAAAGAGCAGATCAAACCAGACTCTGCAAGAGTTAAATAAAAACACATCCTCAAATTTATGATTATTTAGACCTGCGAGAGAAAAAAAGGGAGTCAAAATCAAAACACACAAAATGAGTGACAACACTGATGAAACAACTTACCTGAGCAGCATGCAGGAAGATTTTATCTTCGATATGTCTGACCCCACATGTGATGACGCCCAAGGCAACCCCCGGGAAGATGTAGGCGTTATTGCCCTGACCAGGGTAGAAGGTCTTTCCGTTCACAGTGCAGGCAGGGAAGGGACTCCCACTGGCAAACACACAGCGGCCCTGAAACAAAACAAGAAAGATGAAATAAAATGGGTCACAAAGACATGACATGATAAATGTCCAGAGATTTTTTCTTAAAAAGGCGGACAAAAAAAAGAAAGAAAGAAAAATTAATCATATTTATTCAGATATGGTACTAACCAGTTGTTTTATACAAGGTCAAGGCTATGAATTCCTAAGAGTCTTTTTAATATGAGCAGCAAAATACAGCAGTCTCCATCCATGAGAGCTCCACATAAGAGCCCAGTTGGCCTAAGAACTCCCTCTAACCGAATAGCAGAATTCTCCCCCCCCCCCCAACCTCCCGGTAATTTGCAATAGATTCCGTCAAAGAAACTCAGGGCAACAAGTGTTTTGCGCTGTTTTACCATACTCTCCCCAGGTTGGGGTGAATGGATAGGAGCTGGTGTGGACTCATGGATGACAAAATTTACACACTACAAACACACTTACACAGAACATTTTCTTACGCATGCACTGGAAATTTGTCAAGCACGTCAAATGTAAGCGTCAACCTTTTCATATTGTCGAAGCATCGGATTGTCTTATAAAAGCTGGTCCTTTCTTTGTCATTCTTTCCCCTTCACTAATGCAGCATTGCAACTGGTGCTGATTCATGGTCTCAAACACGCCATCAAATCATCGTGACAATTACACAGTATAAAAATTCACTCTAAATCCTCTGATTCTAACTTGCATCTAAAACAATGCATATCACTCAGAACTGCACCTACTTTTTCTATTTTCTGATGACCGGGCTCTTAGACAGGGACCATTGTATTGGGAATACGATTCAACACTTCATTTTCGCACCTAATTTTATTTTTTAATATACAGTAGTCTCCGCCTAAGATCACGGTGCTCGGGAGCAAGGAAATGCGGGATCTTAGGCGAACCGGGATCTTAACCGACGAACCCAGGGAAGAATCTATGGTGATCCATGTTAAGGCTCACAATCGGTAAAATGGTCTCCCTCCACTCTAAAATGAACTGACGTGACCCCTTGGTGAGTTTATGGCGGGCAAAGAGTGGTTAACCTTGATGACCTATCACAGTGCATGAGGTGTGCCATTTTCACTTATTATCCTATCATGAGTCTCAAGATCTACACTTATCCAGTTGCCCCTCCCCTTTAGCTGTCGAAAATTCATAGCTTTCCATCTCTGACTGAGTCCCCCCCCCCCCCCACTGCCTTTGTCGTTACACACCATAACATTGTGAACACACCAATTAAAATTCAGTCTGTCTCGCAAATTCGGGAGTAGAGACAACTGCTGCAATGGTCAAGGAAGAGTTCACAGTTCGATGTGATCCCGCCTGGAGCGAACATGTAGGCCTTACCCACCCACCCAGTGATGTAAGTTTATGGGGAGAGCTCAGGTGTGAGTGCGATGTGTGGGGAAAACAAACGTGTCGGTCAGTTCACACCCCGGTGTGATCCCATCTCTGGCAAACATTGTATCCCTTCATCGAGTTTTACCAACGTGTATGTGATCACATTCACGATAGTGGCTGATCTTAAACGCGACGGACCGTTTATTGATCTCAACTTTTCACTCTTGGTTGATTGGCTGTGCCCGCCCGCGTTTTTGTTCCGCAAATTATGATCTGAAATGTCAGATCTTAGACGAATGTAGACCTTCAGAGTGAATCAGAGCGGGACCTTATGGGTGACTTTTGCATAGTAAAAATTATTTTTTCTTAAAACAGCGGGATCTTAAGCGAACCAGAATCGTAAGCGGTGGGTCTTAGGCGGAGACTACTGTAAATATAATAACGAAAGCTCAGAGCTGAAAAAGTTATCTCTGACTGCTCAAAACAGTTTACATGATCCCATGATCTTATCACAAAAAAACAGAAGCATTAACCTCTGTGAGGGTATATGCCTCTTCTGCCGAGCACTCGGCCTTGCTGGTTGGGTTGCTGAGGGCAAAGATGACGGGTCTCTCGTTGTGAGCTGCCATAGACAGGATCACTTTCTCCGTGAACGCTCCAGCTATGGCGGCAGCACCTGCACAGCAGAACATTGTAAATGATTGAAATGATAGTAACCAGTTTGCTCAACATTTTTCAACAGGCTAAAAAAGATGATTTACGTAGAGCTAGTTTTCAAAAGGGTAAAAAGATTTTCTGATCTTAATGGTGCGAGAAGACATGAAAGTTATCTCATGGAACAGTTAAACTATGGCCGAAACTACTCAAGACAACCACCCGTTGCCGACCAGAGAGAAAAGTGGTCATCTTAACCAGGTCATCCTCTTAGACAGTGTCATTATGATACAGAAAAAACATTCGAAGGGGTTTGTTTGCTTGAGTGAAGAGAAGCACATTAACACAATAATGGTCATTCAGTGCTGGAAAAAAGTAAGACAGAAAGACAGAAACAACAGATGGAAAAGAAAGAAGTAGAACCAACCAGAGGAACCCTCAAACCAACCACAAATGAAAAGGGGGATGAGGGAAAGCAATTGTTGGTAAAGGTGATTTTCATGGATAGGCGGTCACTAGAGCAGATTCGACTGTATTCACAGTGCCTGACTTTTTATTTGTATTTGAGGACCAGCAGATCAATTCATCAAATGTTTTATAACAAATGAATTGTAACCTATGTCTTCATTTTTTTTTTTTTTAGGGCTTAGCATTATCTATATATATGTCTTATCTTCCTGTTGACACAATCTAGATCTTGCATGAAGTGACAGTTCAACTGGATAACCAGGACTAAGTGGAACACTACACCCCAGATTAAAGACAGAGATAAGACAACTTTAAAAAACGTTTTACTTGTTGAGAATCATACTCACATCTTTTGACAGCACAGATAGAAACCTAACCATTACACAACAGACAAACAAAAGGAACACGACATTGGTGCTGAGCCGAGTTGCGGTTCACATCAAGTTAAGAAGAATAATGGCCACATAGCGCCATGAGGGCATCATAGTAGCACTGATGTTTCGAAGTATCCCCCTCCAACTAATCTGAATATTGAACTGAAATCTGTTCCTAACATAAAGATATCTTGATAGAGTTAAGCGAGTTAATCGACTGAGTGAGTCAATCAATCTATTTAGAAGTTGTAACATCATGGACAAATACACAGAGCAGAAACAGTGAATCTTGTACACCACACCTCCACCATTGCAGCTCCACCTACCAATGAGAACAGACGGCTTCAAATCTTCAACAATCTCCTCCAGATTGTCCATGTGTTTGTAATCTTTGGCAAATTCTTTCTTGTGACCACTGATTCCTCCAGATGGGCGACCCTGCAGAAGCACAAGATATTTTATTCAAACTTAACTTTTACTCTTTGATTTAAAAAACAACAACGTGGTTTTATTGTCAGCCAGGCATTTACTTTTCCTGAATAAAAGTATAAAAACCTGTTCAAAAAGAGCAGAATAAAAACCAAAACTTACTTTAGTAATGAGTCCTCTTGAGTCAACCATCCAGATCTTGCTTCTCGCTTCTTGTTCTGTTGCTCCCTCCTCTATCATGGCCAGAGTCAAAAGTTCAGCAATCCCGATGTTTGCCTGGGTGAAAGGAAACGGAACAAAGAGAGGGAGGGAGATAAAGACAATGACTCTCAGAGCAACACACTTTCACTGGCACATTTTCAAAGGAGTTCTTAGAAAATAAATAAAGGGTCACTCAAAATTTAGATTTTTGACCGGATTCTGTTACTTTTAGTTAGGGTGACTCAGCAGCCCGCTGGAGCTCCCCGGCTCAGGTTCACTGGGTTAATGAGCCCTGAAGCAACTTTGCCGGTGTCGGTTAAAAAGTTCGCATTTTTATCTACGTTTGAAACGATATAACTTCTTCCCCATCCCACACAGCAAGCCATTACACTGATGCACTAAAAGCTCAATGTCTTGAGATTTATTCTGCCTTGTATGGTAAATTCCTGTTCCTTAGTTTTTGTTCCAGACAAGTGTTTGAAGAGTACCCAATTTGTCCTATTTGAGTTACAAACTTAATGAATAAATGATTGTTTATTTAAAAATGGGACGACAGATCACTCCAATTAAACTGACTACAAATATCATGTTTTTACCATGAGAAATCTTAAATCTGCACAAGTAGTAATAGTCAAGTTATAAGAGACACTCAGCGTTAGCTCTTGTTTTACCATTAAACAAGAGAAAGTTACTCTGCATTTGTTCATGAATCATGCAGTGTCTGTGGCAGCCTGCATACAACAAAGAAAGATATATTATACCATTAAAAAAAAACACAAAACTGTGAAATACATGGGTAGAGATAAACTTCTTGTATGGAATTAAAATAATGACAGATAACACATTCATTCTTAGTTTTGGTGTCACAAATAAGCACAGACACTTAGGAATGTAAAGAAATCAGATCATTGTCAGTTATTGCAAATGGTCTTAGAAACTAAAATAAAAGCTGGAAAAGTATGGTGCTGATTCAGTGTCACTGGAAAGCTGGAAATTATTCTTATAACCCAATTACGAGAAGTGAACCCTGTTATTCAGTCAACTTACAAAACATAGACTTAATGTTTTAAGAAAAATAAGGAATTTCTGGAGTGAAACAGATACTGTTCGTGTATTATATTGTAGATGTATTCTGGCACTAGAATCTATTTGTACTTTTTCATAGAGAGACTTCAGGGTTATTTTGATAAACTTTCGAGAAAATATGCAAGTACAGTCAAACCTGTGTAAGACGGCCACCTATTGTCAAGGAGAAAAGTGGCCATATAAGACAGGTGGCTGTCTTAGGCAGGACTGATCAAGATGAAGAAAACAAACCATTCCCATCTGGGGTCCCAATCGAAAGTAGCCGCATTGTTTTTGTTGTTGTTGTTGGTTTGTATTTTGTTTGTAATTTTTATTTTGTCGCTGATTTTGCGCTAGGGTGACAATAAGACGAGGAAGACCGAGTGCCTTGTTAGAACAAACACATTGGTCGCCACCACTCGGAGAACGAGCAACGCTTCTGTCGCAAGTTCATGTAGATGTCCTTTGTTACTTTGTTACAGACTGGGCAAACAGGGACCACTCATCTCACTTACGATTTGTGTATGAGTTCTGGGCGGGGCTTATGGGTTATGAGGGATCACACGCTTACCTCACCAGCAGCTGAAAATTGGTACCTATTGGTCAACAGTGGGAGGGACTACCTAACAACAAAGATAGGGTATTGAATTATGGCGGCCGGCCCACCACGCCAGGGGCCAAAGCACAATTTATGACAAAACGTAATGGAGTCACTAAGGCGGCCGTCTAAGACAGGTGTTATTGCTTAGTGTTATAGGGGCTGTGTGTCAAAATATGGTGGCCGCGGCCGCGTTGTACAGGTGGCCGTTTTACACAGTTAAATTATATACAAAAAAACGCAAGGGGGGAAATGGAAAGTGGCCGTATGTACAGGTGGCCGTCTTATAGAGGTGGCCGTCAGGGCAGGTTTGACTGTATTCACAATTATATTAGACACATAAAAATGTTTTTTTTGGGAATCACTTCAAAGCGAATTGTGTTCCAGATGGATAAAGTTGCAAAATTACAGAATTCTATTACATAATATGTGAATATACCATCTTTTTTGAGCATCTGCACCAATGATATGTCGTTCATGTTCTAAAAGTTCGACAGCTTTTGTCGTCGCCATTTTTGTTTATACCGATTTTTTTTATTCACACCTGTCCAAAATATTTTACAATTTAGCATTGCTGACTTCAGCGCGTCTAACGAAACAACCAGAGAAGTTACAATGTCCATATTTTTTTCAGTCTCAAGAGCAGAAATGCATGCTTCAGGTGCATTAAATAGTAATTACCATAAATATAAGGATACACCTAAAACTGTGCGTTGAAAAGTACCAAAAATTAAGTCAGCCCAGACAAAGGGGCGACAGGGAGCTGACCCCCGTTACCCCGACGTGGTAAGGCGCTCGACGGGGAACCCCCCCGCTGCAATTAAAATTCCACTGCCGGTGTGCCGTGTGACGAGACAAATATAATTTACATTTCATCTGTAAAATAACTTTTTGTAGCATCAGGCATTTCAGCAACCAGGCATGCCCCAAAGATAGATTTGAAACATCCTTCGAAATTTAATCTAAATATTGAACTGAAAACCGTTCGTAGTAAAAAGATGACTTAGCAGAGTTTTTCGACTGAGCGAGTCAATCAGTTTTTTTAAAAATATCACAACAAATACAGATTAGAAATAGTGAATCTTAAACAGGCATCCTCCATCTACTAAAGAGATTTGGCGCTTAAGTTCTTTGACTCAACTTTACTGAGAGGAACAGACATGCTAATGTTTTTTTGTACACAGCACTTTAACCCTTTGAATCCAAAACTTTGAGATTTCCCACCCCCCTTTTACCTGGACAACTCCCTATTCGGTCACCCCGAGGAGCTCCGGTCTTACAGGACGCTAAGAAATATGCCCCGAGTGGATTTAGCAGCTTTACAGGAGCCAGCCTTACCAAGAAACTGACAGTTACACCCTGGGCTAATTTACCGGCATAAGGGGTTCAAATATCTGAGGACAAGAATTGCACTTACTTCTCCTGCCCCCTGGAACAAAAACTTGTTGTCTGTCAGCTTGGTTTTGGTGATCCTCAGGCTAGCGAACACACCAGCAGCAGCCACGGCAGCAGTACCTGCACACACATATACATGTTGTGTTGATCATTTCCATGACAACATAGTTTGTGAAATCTTCAAGAGATGACATTCAATACTTTTAGTTGGTACAACGGGTTTTTTTCATCAAACATGAATCAACATAGATATTTTGATAAAAGTTGTGACGATATCATGCATCTTTTAAAAAGTTGGTTTTTTTTAGCCTAGAAAAGTAAAAATAGTTTAATTAAAAGGGGCATGCCAGTTTAACTTCAACTTAACTCTTAGAGTTGAGGCTTAGGTACTTCATTTACGTCCAGACCATGCGTGACACATCAGAGATGGTTGCTGTGGGAAGGTTAACCTCTTTCAATATTATCCACAAATCCCATTTCTGGCAACATTTGAGTGCAGCATAATCCACTTACTCGTACATTTGCCACACACAGACGGATACCCTAATCCCCCCCCCCCCCCTCCAGAAGAGCCCCAGGTTGTTTTTTTCCCCTGTAGCAGAAGACTCACCTTGGATGTCATCATTGAAGGTGCAGTAAACATCCCTGTACTTCTCCAAAAAGCGGAAAGCATTGTGGTTTCCAAAATCTTCGAATTGAACCAGACAACTGTAGCCATATCTGAAAAAGAATAGCAGTGTAATATCTCCGCTATATTCTTTGTACTATTACCAGAGTGTGAAAATAGGCTCTTTCATGACTATGGGCCAAATTCATAAAAAGGAAAATAATAACACAAGAAAATGGAATATGGAGAACAACAAAATAAGTCAAAATTTGCTAAATTTTGCATTCTACACATCAACAAACATTTCAATGAGCTCAATTTATTTAAAGTGCAAACATTATCCACAAGCTTTGAAACGCACAGCAACTTACGAAACCCATTTTTTGGGTAGTATTTAATTTCTGTTTTTGTTCGGTGTGCACTCTGTCCTTTTTCTTTTCACTTCAATTGTTATGTTCACTGTGAAAAGTCTTAAATCATAATTAAACAGCCGTAAAACATTACAGTTCATATGAACGTAAATACTTCTCTTGACACAAAAATAAAAGAAACTAATTCAACTCTTTAAAAGACATAAAGACTATCATCTTAACATTTATTATAACGTATTCAAAGATTCATGTTTCTCTAAATGAAAACATTATACTATTTAAAATAGAATGTTATCTCTAAATTTCTCTTTAGGCCTTGTTACTGCAAATGTGCAGAGAGGGGTTAACGCACTCGACTACCTTTTTGCTACTGCTTGCATGAACTCATCTATGAAGTCATCGTATTCCTGTCCTGTGACTCTTGGCTCACAGTGGCCAATGTACAGAGGATCCTCGTGAAGTTTCTGGAAAACAATCATTTCATTCCTCTGAGTAAAGAGAAGCACATTGATACTATAATGATCATTTGGCACGGGGAAACAGTAAGACAGACAGAAACTATTGAGCGAAAGAGAAAAATTTGGACCTACCCATGTTGCCCTCCAATCCCCTGCTCTTGAAAATAATAGAGACACGAAGAGAATAAAATCTCAGAGAGGTTAGCAACGGTTGTAATTTGTTCACTTAGGCAAAAGTTGAGTCAGTTCCTTTAACTACTCCAACACCTGGAAAGTATCATATCATGAAGAACCCATTTAATGAATCTTTCAGAACCTGAAAAAAAAAGCAATATTTCACCACATTAATGACAGAATAGCAGAGACCTATTCAACATCGCCAGGATAGTCAATAATTACTTTTATGAAAATTTTTCCCACATGTCTACTGCTCTTCCATAAATGATTGTGACGACTTTACAGACATAAAACAGAATCTGCCTAGAATCAGACCTGACAGCTAAGGAATATCTCTTAAAATGTTAGACCCAACTCAGACGGTACACATTCACTATTGTCCTTACGGGATGGTTATCATTCAATGAAACAATAAAGCAAAATACTGACAAATGCCTGCAACATGTCAGCCCTGTTTGTGCATGTGTCTGTGTGTGGGCCTGAAAACATGTGTGTGTGTGTGTGTGTGAGCATGACCATGCCTGTGAAAGTATTTTATTTTGAAAACTGCTGTGAGCACGGAAAAGTCACTGTGATCTGATGAGAAAGGCAGAAATACTGCATCATCAATGCTTTCGTTTATTTGAGTAAAGAGTACACCTACAAAATAATATGTGAGGCATCCTTGTGAAATCAGACACTCGTCTAAATAATGAAATCTAAGAAACAGACATTTTCTCGCCACTTTACAATTTTCATTGTATTTTACTTTTTAGGCTCAACACCTTTAATGTCCATAAAAATACATTTCCATGTGAATTTTGTTGAAAAAAGATTAAAGGCAGAGAATATATAATATTTCATTTTTCAAGGACTCTCAGGCAATTGAAGTTACCAAACTTTGTTTGCCATTTACTTGCTAATATAACCACTGAAACCAGGCGACCCCATCTCCTTCAATCGCAAATCTCTCAATTTTTATTCCAGACAGATGGGTAATTTTTTCATTGGAACCAAGGCAAATAAATAAGCTTTCGCGTGATACCAATAATTCCAAATGTCCCAAAATCGATGAGCGCCTTATTCCACAACATCACGACACATACAATTGGTGCAGGGGGAAAAGGCAGAAAGAAACAAAAACAATAGGACCTTCCAGTGATGCTCTCCAACCATCCACAATTATCACTGTGAATTTTGAACAAGCATTAAAAAATCCAGGCAACACAACTGCAGCATCTGTGATGCAGCTCAAACGCACTTTAAGCTTCTGTGAGAAAAAAAAAGTCCACAAACCTCATTGTTGGTGCCGACGTCCAGGAGGATGGGCAGGCACTTGGCTGGGTGGATGCCACCCAGTGCTGTGTACAGGGACAGCTTGCCCACAGGGATACCCATACCATACGCTCCCAGGTCACCCAAGCCGAGGATCCTCTCTCCGTCTGTCACAACAATTGCCTGTGGAGGGACACAACAATTAGCTTTTAGTTTTAGTATGAGTTTTGCGGCACTTACAACACAATCAAGTCAAACAAGTGCCGAAGATTAAAAGTGTTACATGAGAGTAACAATAACAAACACAAAAAAGAAAGAGGAGAGATGAGAATGCCAGATGCTCAGTAGGAAAGAAGGAGCAAACCACACCAGAGCACCTGCCAACCACCCATGGAACACAACATAACAGTGATAATTCAAACAACCTGTCACTTTTAAGTTTTATTTTAGCTTTAACGTGAGAAATTAGAGGCTGTTATCAAGTCGTATCATTGCCTTAACAGAAGAAATTAAAGGCTTTTATATAACCTATTCCATATTTTTTTCAAGTGATCCAGGTTCTTGTAACCGCTGCTCTTGAGTTGTAGTTCAAAGTGGAAGGGTGAACGATAAGGGAGACATTTCAACAGGAGGCACCCTCAGACACCTGCACAACTGAAAAGAAGGTAGAGGGGATCTCATGGGAGCACACATTTTTTAAAAAGTGTATAAAATTCAACCTACGCTCATGGACTGCTATCTTAAGGTAAGTCAAGGCAGGGAGGAAAGAAAAGATTCTGTTCTCTCATTACCTTAACATTCCTCTCTGGCCAGTTGCAGAGGATCTCATAGATGTGCCCCTTATCCTTGATCGAAATGAAGAGACCTCTGAGGAGGAAACAATGCTTTCCATAATAAGACAAGGTTTGTTGAATGAATCAAATTAATCAAAAGATTATACCTGCTCTCAAACTGAAAAACAAATTGCCAGTAACTTTGCCTTACCTTATAGCTAATATGCTTGAGTAAAAAAAAAAAGGGAAAAAAAAAGAAAGAAAAACACAGCAGTGGACATTAAACTAATCACTCATGACCTGAAAAGAAAGACTTCCGATAAAACAGATTTTAAAAAATGTTTAAATCAAGAGAACATTTTTCAAAGCTATCAAAAACAAGGGTTTGAGCAGATTAAAAATCCAAGTTGATGTTGACAAAAGAGAAATCCATACCGGTAGATTGGCAAATTTGCTGACTTTCAGTATACAAAGCATCGGTGAGACAAAAACAACATTTGACAAGGAACCGACTGCTTTATGGTTTGTTTGTCTGTTTGTTTCTGCAAAGAGGAGCACATAGATGCGACAAAGGCCATTTAGTGCTAGGAGAAAGCAAGAAAGACAGACAAACAATATATAAAGAGAAAGAAAAGAAGTAAGACCTACCAGTGGCCCCCTCTACACCAACCATTTGGAACAGATTCAGATAATAATAACACTGAAAAGAAGTAGCAGGCAAAACCAGAGCACCCGTGATTTGAGAAATTAAAGGAAAATCCCCCCTCTAAAAAACAGAGCTCTTCCCTGTAATCAAACACTTGTTTTAACACTCTTAAATGGCAGAAAAAAACCCAAAGCGAAATAAGCAATAATGAGTCCAGAGTCAGACACATACACACACAAAGAAATGTGACACCAACCTGGGTCTACGGAACACAACGCCATACTGTTGACACGCTTGTCCAACGGTAGGGGTGTACACAATGGGCATCATCTCCTCCACATTCTCACACAAGACCTGAAACAGGGATTTAAAATAAGGTAATACGGTATTTATATATGTGAGGCATCGTGGTGAAATCAGGCACTCGTCAAAATAATACAATCGAAGAATCTGTCATTTTTATGTCCGTTTGGCAATTTTTATCGAATTTTTTGTTGTTGGACTCAACACCCTAAAGGTTAATATTAAAACACATTTGTGTGTGGATCTTATTGAAAAATATATTGATTTAAGGCATAAAATGTAAACTTACAGTTTCTAAGGCCTCTCAAGTTTGGGAAGTCTCCAAACTTAGGTGGCTATTTTCTTGCTAATTTTATCCCTGAAACCATGCGACCTTGACCACCTTCAATATCGAATATCTCAACTTCCATTCAAGATAGATGGGTATTTTTTTCACCAAGAGGAAGGCAAATGAACAGACTTTATGATGGTACCAATAACCCCATATGCCCACAAATTGATGAGTGCCTGATTCCACCACATCACGACACATATTAATAATCATAAGTGTTTTCAACAATTGACATAATTTAGGAAGCAGGCTATTTCGACTTCCACCAGTCAGGGCCAATGCCAGCGGACAGGGAAACAACATTCCAGCAGACAGACTGAGATGCTCCATAAAAACTTGGGGAATCGAACTCGTGTCGTCTGAAAACAACAGTAAAGCGCAGTGTGTCACACAGACACTGGTTGATACAGTGAAACTGTACATCACACATGATATATTTATTCAACTCCAGGAAACCAGTGGCTATTCTTTCAGAGTTTTACCTCCATGTCAAGTAAGCACATAAAAAATAGAAGAGCTACACAAAAGACTTATCTAGCCAAAACGAAACTGACAGAAGTAGACTTTAATGTCAATCTAGCTCTATTTAGAACATCAGTTAACAACAAAGCATATCTAGCACGAAAACACAAGGTTCAAGTTTCCTTTATAATCAAAGCAGTACAAATTACCTAAGAGATAGTTTAAGTAGCTATAAATTTATAAGTCTCACTCACAAGCCATTCACATGTCATTGCTTCATGTAATTTTCAACAATTGATTTTGAGCTGTACGAAGATTGGCTGAAAAAAAGAATGCTTTTATGTGCAGAGATAAGTGTGTGTAAAAATATTCAATGCAGTTGTAGTAGTCTTAGTAGTAGACAACATTATTCTATTTTTACAGATATGTAATTTAACCTAGTTCAAAATGTGCCTAAAAAATGCTGGCTGCAGTGAGTAGAATGGTCACAAACAGGGACACACAGCTAAACATAGCATTCACAGACTGCTGGTATAGCAATCTCTATATAGTATGAAAACATTAAAGTAAGAGGAGAAATTAATGGAATGTGACAATAATTTAAAAAAAACAGCAGTATGAAAAGTAAAGCAGGAACACTTTACTTTGTAAAACAGCTTCTCATTTCTGTCTTGCAGGGCCATGAGGTAAATAAAGCGATCTAAATCGCTGCTGCGCTTAGAAAAGTTAGTGAGGACACGGATCGTCTGCTCTTCCACTGAGCGGACTGTTGGTGGCACCAAGCCATGAATTCCCATCAGTTGGCGCTCTTTCAAAGTGAAAGCTGTTCCCTGGAAACACAAACAAATATTCATACATTATCAAACAGGAAGAAGAAATGGATGTGTCAAACGTGCAGCACACATTTTCGAAAGATCAAAACTAATTCACTACAACCAGACTGATGGAAGTTACAGGCAACAGAAAAGTTAAAATCATTTCATAAAGAAAGTTTTACATGTCAGTCTGATATCCAACAAAATTACTCAAACTGGATCTGAAATGTGTCAACAACAAAATATGACTTTCCGAAACGACCAAAGGTCAACATACATATAAGAGAGAAAGCAAATATGATGAGACAACTAGGGATACTCATGCTGTCATAGTAGTACTTTGACAATGTCACAGTTTTCATGTTGTTCTCTTGAAAATTCAAAAAACATATACACATCAAAAGGCATCCTCAAACCATAATATAATATTCCATAACCAAGAAAAGGAACTGAGACATGCAATTAAAAACATTACATGATTACACAACTTACTTGTTTTCCTCCCTCCTTACTTACCCTCATTAAAAAGCAAGTTACTTAAATAGGAATACGATCCAAGTCACACAGTGCATTCAGGAAATACACTCTTTTAGTCCCAAATTTATAGAGTACCAATCCCCCTCTTACTTTCATTTAAAATATGACAAAACTGTAGAGAAAAGTTTAACCACAATCAATACCTTGTTGAGTTTGGGGTTTCTTAGAATATCAATGCCTCTGACACGAGAATGATTAATAAGCTCTTTCTTTGGTTCCTGAGGACCATCCGATGAAGAGCCGCGAGTGATGACATAGCAGCTCTGAGCACTGTTAGAATGATAAGGGGATAAAAAACAAATATAACAACAGCTAAACAGAAAAATAGCAACTAATAATCAGAATAATGGGATCAAATTTTTCATTTGATCAAATAATAAATCATTTGAGCACATGACGTGCTTTTTTAGTTAATAAATTATAATACTGAAATATTTGTGCACTTATACCTGCTGTTTTTGCTTTCATCTTTTCATCAAGAATTCTTAAAGAGTGTGTAAGAATTTCTCAGCTAAGAAGAAGGTCACCTTCAGATGACATTACTTTTACAACTTTTTTTTTAGCAGGGGTGACCTCTGTCATAGAATGGAATTTTCAACATTCTTTTGCATCTTAAAACTCAAGGTCCTGGTGTATGCACAAAACAACCCTAAGTAAAATAGTAACCAGCCTGTTACCTCAATTATACGTCTAATCTTTTCCCATCCCTTCTTTAAAAAGTCTATTCACTGAAATTACTTACTTAATGACATTTAAGTTAATAATCAAAGGGAAGAAAACAGCATTTTCTTCCTGTCCGACAATTTTTATCGAATTTTTAATTTTTGGCTGAGAACCTTTTATGTCCATTTATTTTAAAAGCAACATTGCTGTGTGGATTTTACAGAAAGACGCTGATTAAAGGCCAAACAAATGTAAATTTTCTCTTTCAAGAACTCTCATGCTTTGGAAGTTACCAAACTTTGGCTGGCATTTCCCCCCTAATTTTACCTCTGAAACAAAAGATGATCCCTACCTCCGTCAATCAAAGATATCTCAACTTGCATTGAAGACAGATTGATTGGTAATTTTTTCATCGAAACCAAGACAAATGAACAAGCTTTAAAATAATACCAACAACTGACCACACACTCAAAAATTGACGAGCACCTGATTCTATCTGGCCTTGACACGTGGATTACGAAAAGTGGGTATATTCAAATTAATATTTTTGGTATTCCTTTCCTTTCCCTCCCATCTCCTTAGCTACCAGTCGTCCATTTCATTTTACTACTAGGTATTGATGCTTTGAACATGAATATCAACTTCATTTCCATTGCAAATTAATGGCTTTTGAAATATTTGATTTGTTTAAATCGAGCTCTCTATCACTTACTTCACTTAGCACTGCATAGTAATTTGTGTGCTTTGGACCAATGGGGGCCTGCCCGCCCCCACCGGAGGTAAAAAAAACAACTGGGGGGTTACAGGGGGGGGGCCCCCCCTGTTTTAACCCATAATTTGATATTTTGCCGTTAAGTTAAACATTTTCTTGAAAATGATTGATTTGCGACACTTTTAGTGGCTTTTTATGACATGAAGCTGCAGCGAGCAACTAACACGCCTCTGTGATTGGCCCAAATATAGATTGCGCATTTTCGCCATCTATTTTTGTCGTCTTCCGGGATTTCCCCCAAGACTCTTGGGTTTCCCTTGCCAGTAACTGCACATGTTGAAGAGATTTCGCTGGGGTTTTTTATAATTAATTTATGTTATATCTAAAAACAATGTCCGCAATTCTCGTTCTATAAATTTACCTTCTCAAATGCGTGCGCAAACACACACACACACAAGCGCACGCACACACACACAAGCCTGCGCTCGTACACAGCCGAAGCAGTGGGCGATGAAACCTAGATCTAGTCATTTAGCCCACTGCGCACAAAGCGGGGGAAGCGGCAAAGCGGGGCCCGCCACGATGAGATCTAGTCAACTGGCGAGGGAAGCCCCGAAGACGACAAAAATAGATGGCGGAAATATGCCATCTCTATATTTGGGCCAATCACAGAGAGTTGTGCTAGGTGCTCCTTTTATGTGTGATCTGCAGCAACCAATAAAAGCAGTTTGACCCCCCAAAAAGCAGTGAGTTAGTGGGATTGAATTGAAGGTAAAAAATTTATCTTTTTTAGAAAAATAACATCAAGAGATACTTTAAAATAGAGGATGTCACTGAAATATTAGAATAGTGCTCACTAACAAACTAGATTCACAAGGTACGAAATGAAACTGAAGACTGAAGGGGCAAGTATAAAAATAAAAATAACGAAGTGACTATTTCTCCGAACGTTCGGGCAAATAAAGCTGAACTCTATTTCTCCGAACGGTTCCCGATCTCGAGATTTTTTTTGTTATTTGCGAGATTTAGGCGTCATTCTTTCATTAGTTCTGCCATTTTGCGAGGACTGAGATGAAGCATTTTTTGCATAAAATTCAATTTCTAGAGCTAGAGATTTTAAAATGTCTGAATATTCAGATACTTAAGTTGTGGTTGGGGCAACATTCCCGGACAATACTTCATTAAAAAATGGGAGTGTATACAGACCCGGTAACCGGGAACAAAGTCACAAAGTATACAGACCAGGTGGGGGAACTCTTTTGTGATTTCGGAAAGTTTCAGCGCCCTCTTGGCTCAGGGAAGACCTACGTTCTTCTAGATCTATGGCCTAGGTCTAGATCTAGATAGACAGACATAAATCATTGATCTAGTTTCGAGGCTAGCCTAGATCTAGATCTAAATGAAGATTGCGGATGTCTTTTCGATGAACGATCGTTTTTCCTCTCCGTTTCGGAGTTGGAGGAATCATAATTTGAAGAAAATAACAATGCATAATTTCAATCGAGCAGTGACCCTCTCTATTTCTCGGCCTCTCTCTCTCTTCTCTGTGTATCGCTCGCCTTCCCTTACTATCTTTCTCTCGTTCCCTCCTGCCAACTGGGGCATGTCATATATACATTTTGCTAGCACTTCTCTCTCTCTCTCTCTCTTTCTCACACACACACACACACACACACACACACACACTACCGGGTCTGGGCGCTGAAACTTTCCGAAATCACAAAAGAGTTCACCTACCGGGTCTGTATACTTCGTGACTTTGTTCCCGGTTACCGGGTCTGTATACACTTTCACTTTGTTAAAAAATACCTTCAAAAGGTACAGCGAGAAAACAAGACTGCTTGACCTTGGCAGTAACCTATTTTGCATTTAGTCACCTAGCAAAAACTAATATCCTTCATGATGTAAAAAAAAAAATCCCTCCACGCCCCCCCCCCCCCCAACAACACCTTTAAACACACACACAGACACACACACATACACACATGCCCACTCACACACACAAACAGGCACGCACGCACACACACACATACGCACACACACACATACGCACACACATATATATATGGCCCTTTATGTATAGATCTAGATCTATATATATATAGGAGAAATAGCTCGAAATCACTCTGATCTCTATACTATAATAATAATGTGCTCTTGTTGGGAAGATACGACTGTACTGTAAAAGGTCCAGGCCAAGTCTAGTACTAGATTCTAGATCTAGACTAGATCTAGATCTATATCTAAATCTAGATTCTAGAATCTAGATCTAACAATAGTATCAACGTATTTCAAACAGGAAAAGGAGACAGTAGGGCCAAGACAGAACATTAGGGACCTAGAAAAGAGGCTGCGCTAATGATGGCCATAAAATACCGGCCAATCAGCTGATAAATTAGACGAGTGGAGAGAGAGACAGACTGGCAACCCTTCAAAATTCAACCTCGAATAATAGGGCCCAGAACTAAGCACTCTAGCCTAAAGAACAGAAAACAAAGCAACTTACAATTTCGAAGAGTTACTCGAAAATATTTTCCTGGCTGTCACTGCTGCAATATTATATGCCATGATGGAAGGTGTGTGTCATATAGTCAGCAAAACCGAAAGAAGTGAACAGTCAGAGATCGAACAACACCTGCTGAAAGTGAATGTTCTTGTCTGAAATGTCCTTGAACTCTTCACTTCCTTTTCAGAAGAGCTCGTTTTTGTGCCACTGCTTCGATCGCGCCGGGGTTAGGCAAGGACAGGCCGAAAAAAAAACCCAGAAGGGCTAACAGGTGGAAAAGAAAAGATTGTTTACAAGCAAAGCAATGACATTTAAATATCAAATGTTCCACCGGCATATCTAAGATTTACAGAAAACTCATAACTATCTTTGGCTTGGCCATAAAATAGTTTTAGCAATTCCCCCCCCCCCCCTTAGATTGAAATATATATAATTAGCATTCCATCACAACCAGTGCCCGGCTAGCTCAGTCGGTAGAGCATGAGACTCTTAATCTCAGGGTCGTGGGTTCGAGCCCCACGTTGGGCGAATTTTTTTTTCGTTCTGGTTTCTCTTCACCTTTTTTGTTCCCGTTCACCTTATTTTTTTCACTTTTTAGAGGGGCGGGGGATAAGAAGTATTTCAAGTGCACTGGAGGTTTTTTTTGTTTTAGTTTGTTTCATTTCACCGGTTTTAGCAGCTAACAAGGGTCATGTTGCACATCAAGAATAATGTTCGTTCCTGTGACTGTGTATGGTGATGGTTTTTTTTCGATTATTGATTGGTGTTGTTACGGTGTTACTCCAAACTCTCAGAGTAGTATAAGAGCGTATAAAAATATGTGTTACCCAACCAGAAGTATAGATTACGTGTATAACAATATAAGAGTTAAAATTTGTAATAGATTTAAGTTTGAAAAACAAAAGTTTGTTTTGCGCGTCCGAATCAAATTCCAAGAAACGATTCAGTCATGAGCTTTTGTTTATGGCCAGTTTGTCTTTTTCTACTTTAATGCGTAGATTCTAGGCTTTTATTATATACCTAAACTGATTACCATTTTGGGTCAACTGAATGAATGGCGTTCGTCTTAACTATCTTAATAAGGGAAAATACTTTTTCCCATTCTACTTTACATCATATTGTATCACTGTAAGCACGATCAGGGAGTCAGTGATCGAAAGCCCTTTTTTTTTTCTTCTGGGGCTAATACTCCATTCGATAATTCGATATCCACTATATCATCATTCAAATATCCAAACAGCCGGTTTTGAGTAAGTGAATTTAGTTTTTATGTAGGCTAGTTCTTCACAGTAATAATATTATTATGTTTGATCGCCTAAAGTCAAGATCGAACAAATAAATGATCACCCATGTGTCACGGACAAGGATAGTAAAAAATCATACTCGTGTAGTAGGGCCTACTGGTACAGGGTCATTCCTCCACGAACGGCAGGCCCAACGGCGGTACATGTACTTCGAATAGTGTGTGCAGAAACTGGCCTTTAAGTTTTAAGAAATTCTGGTTACGGAATCCGTGTTTTTTTTGGTGTGTGTTCTCTCTCTCTCTCTCTCTCTCTCTCTCTCTCTCTCTCTCTCTCTCTCTCTCTCTCTCTCTCTCTCTCTCTCTCTCTCTCTC